TTCATTCCTGCGGAAGCCATGCGGAAGCGCTGCCACGGTGACTTGTGCGAGGTGGTCTGCAGAGGAGCCTGAAGTCGAAGTGGGCTGAAGGGAGTTAGTGCAGCCATAGCTGCTTGTAGATTAGAGTTAGCTGGCAGCCATAGCTGCCGCAGGTTAGTGATAGGTGTGTACTCGTGTGTGTGCAGAGTGTGTGTGTGGGGTATCCAGGGTGATCCGGAGTTGAAGTGTGAAGCGAACAGTGTTGTTGGACACAGTGACAAGAATGCGATGCGTGGGTGCTGATGCACCGTAGCCTGTTGTAGCGAGCTTACCTCTGAACTGTGTCTTTATCTTCGAGCTTTGAGTTGGGCGCTATGCGCCAGTGTGAATCACCATCTGTTTGTATGCATGTGAAGTGACGAAGTATGCGAGTCTGATTGCAGTACGTTCTATTCGGGTGATAACGCCATCAACTGCTCTGGCCGCATAACTTTCTGTTGTTGGCCGAAATATCGGCTGTTTCCATCCTGATGTCATTTCTGAGAGGTCCCAGCACAGGCACACCAAGAGAAAAAATGAGAAGAGAGGCAAAGAGAGAACAGAGAGAGAAGAAATAAAGAACCCGAAGGAAACAAAAGCGAATTAAAAAAAAAAGAAAAAAAGGTAGAGAGCAAAGGAGAGAGAAGAAGACCATACATGCAGCGCATCACGTGCGTCGCATAGCGCACGCGCACACGTGATGTGGCGCAATTACGAATAAAAAAATAAAAAAGAAATCAAAAGGGCAGGCTGTGGTAACCAGATGTGTGCCTCTCTTTTGAAAATTGTTACAGTGGCTGTCTCGTTTGTTTGTTTTTCCTTTTCTTACGTGCAGTGGCCCTAAGGGCCTCGCTCCAGTCATCAGCACTTGCACAAAAGACAAAACATATGGCGGCGCATGGTTCCATTTCTAGGAGAAGATTCATTCTAGTTTTGCACATTTGGTGAGTGGTGGAGTGAAGCCCTGAAAATCACATGCCCAGCGACTATTCTTCTCCTGCTGACGAGGTCCTTGCTAACCTTTGGCAGGGACGTTTTGAAGTACGGGCAGGGGTTTTAAAAAAATGTGAAAGGGCTCTTTGCTCTCTCTCTCTCTCTCTCTCTCTCTCTCTCTCTCTCTCGCTCGCTCGCTCGCTCTAGAGTGTATACACGCATCACGGTTGCTGCTGCTTTTTTTTTTTCCCCCCGCGCATCGGCCATCAGCGCACCGTGCAGCCGACACCGCACTGCACAGTGCACCTCACGTATGTGCCGCAAGTATGAAGAACACCCATCTGAGGGGAGAGAGGGAGAGAGGGAGAGGGAGAGAAGGAGAGAAGGAGAGAAGGAAGAGAGAGAGAGGGAGACAGGGGTAGAGGGGTGGAGGGGTGGAATGAGGGAGAGAGGGGGAAGGGGGCAGGCGGAGAAGGAGATACGGACACAGAGAGGTGGCCAGATATACAGAGAAAGACATCGAGAGAGACAGACAGTCAGCGGCATACCACTGGTAGGATGGAGAGCATCTCCCGCATGGAGCCAGTTGTGCAAGTTGAAGACCTGAGCTTGCTTAGCTAAATCCGCCAGTGCAGTCACAGACTGTGTGTCCCCTGCAAGTTCGATACACCAGGAAAACAACGAACCAAAGGCCATAAGTGTATCATCAAAAGATTCAAAACATAATTATTAATTATCATCTGTAAAAGGGCCTTTACGAATCAGACCCCAAATGGATGCCCCAATAGCAAGGGGCCCTGTCGGCCAGAACTTAACTTCACGAGCAGCAACTCAAAAGACAAAGTTCCTGACGGAAAAGTCACATCCATAATGAAGTGGAAAGTCATCTTGAAAGGTCACAGGTCCTGAACGAACAGGTATTGGACACAATTTTCAAGACTGAGTTAGGNTCCATAATGAAGTGGAAAGTCATCTTGAAAGGTCACAGGTCCTGAACGAACAGGTATTGGACACAATTTTCAAGACTGAGTTAGGGCCATGTCTCTTCGATGAAATGACATGTCTGTTCGGCAATGAGTCAAAGGCTACAGTCCCAGTCCAGTCATAATCCCACGAGTCAGTCCTGATTCAGACCAGGAGTCCAAAAGACAGGCCCGATGGCCCAAAGCAGCAGCAGACCATGGGAAAAGATACTGGGACACACAGTTTGCAACAATCGGTACTGGGCAGGAGTCCCAGGCACATTTGAGGCTGAATGCAGGCCTCGCCAGGCCAGTCCAGCACTATAAAGGACTGGCCAGCCTCCCATTTGGACAGATGCTCACTTCGCATGAGAGTGTGGAAGTGCCGTGGCACTTGTGCGCTGGATGTGTGTGAGCTGTGCTAGGCTGAAGAGCAGTGCTATGTGGGAAGGAAGAGAGTGCTGGCTAGAGGGAAGGCAGCCATAGCTGCGCCAGCGCTAGTTAGTATATTAGTAGGGATAATCAGTAGGAGATACCAGTCAGTAGTATTCAGAGTAGATCCTCGTGTGATAGGGAGTGTGCATGCATGATGAGTGACGGTAGACCAGGACTATAGACATAGAGGAAGAAAGAGAAGAAGGCAGACGAGAGAGGGGTAAGTGTGAGCTATGGTGACACTTACCTGTTGAGTGCCGTTGTTGATGTCTGACAGCTGACGCTGATGAGCGCCAGGCTTGGAACTCATGTTGATTGAAGAAGACTTGTAACTCTGTTCAGCGCCATACACTTTGAACTCACGATGTTCTCTGTCTAACTCTGGGTTTGATAATTGAGTTGAGTTTCCTGGTTCTCATTCACCTTCTATTGGGTTTTGTGCGAGACTTCGCAATATGTGAAATCAGTGTATATGCATGTGATCTGATGCGCTCCAGCAAGTGATGAACAGACGGGTTCCTTGCAAATTTGGTATCGGAGCGAAACTTGTTACTCTCACTGGATGTGCTGGCATGATCAAGGCCGGCGAGGAGGATAAGCTGGCTTGAGTACAGCTGGCGAGAGTTAAGGTGAAGAGGTGTTGGATTGGGATAGAGGGGGAAGTTGGCCAAAGAGGAAGGGGCTAAGGAGGAGAAGACTTACCTGCGATTGGAGCGCTTGGAGCGAACGTGGAGTCTTCATCAACGGCTACAAAGCAGAGAAGAACCTCCTGCCCCACTTACCTCGATTGATTGCAAATCTGTGTGTCGTGTATCTCTTCCCCCTCCATTCTGGTAATCGCTGCTGCTGTCTGGACGAAACCCGTGGCCTGGTCTGAACGGACAGATAGTATTAGAGAGTCAACATCTGGTCTTCGTGTTATCCATCTGGTCTGTCGATAGGTAGGGAAGGAAGGTTGAGTCAGGGAACTGTGTACTACCACGTTAGAGTGTAAGTGGCTGAGAACAGGGAAACTCTTGATTATTTGGATTTGTTTCTGAAGTAAGTTTGAGTGCTCCCAGCTACCTACTCTATCGAAAGTGACTAGTCAGACCATTAAAGGCATAAATCAGCTAAGTAACTCAACAGGCAGCAAACAAAAAAAAAAGAGAGAAGAGTTCCTACTTTTTGTATATTGATTAGGAAAACGTTGTATATCTTCTGCATTATCAAATTTCGTTGTTCTGAAGCAGCGGCATCCAAATTTTGAAAAAAGAAAAAATAATAAATTACAGATCCCACCCAATCAAGTGAACTAGGATCTGGGGTATCTACTTGGTGGGCCAGCGGAGGTCATTCCTGTGCTGACACCCACCATGGACGATTACCCCATGCAGGGATTGCTGGCCCTATCAGTGTTGCTGGGGGCCCTTTTCAGAATCTTCTTTCCCCTGGGCTTTGGGAGGATACGCACCTCCCGTATGATGATGAGATCAGGCAATGTGAAGCCAGGGCCCTCGGCTGCAGAGCAGGCTGAAGTAGAACGCCGGCAGGCCAAGAAAAAGAAAGAGAGAGAAGATAGAAAGAAACAGAAAGAAGAAGAGCTGGGAAAGAAAACTCAGCTAGAAGAAGAAAGGATTAAAAAGGAGTTGAAAGAAAAGTTAGAAAAAAGAATTGCAAGAAGAACTAAAGACTGTAGAAGAAGAAGATGAACCTGCAGATGATACAGACAGACTCATCAGACATCGAACTGAAAGGGGCGAGTCAGTTTGGTGGGTTGAATATACAGGGCAGTCCCTTAAACTGGTATGACCAGTATAGTTATTCCAGTGACAGGATTGAAGAGACAGAGGAAGAAAGGGACACATTTGTCGCAAAATTGGCATCCATTAAAGATAAAAGGGAAAGGGAACTTTTGCTGAAGAAAAACGAGCAGAGCTTCACACTAAAATGTTAGCAGCAAAACGACAAGAGCTCGAAGAGAGCAAAAGACTGCATGCAAAAGGTGAAAGGTTGCAAAGAGAATTGCAGGCGCAGAAGGAAAAACAAACAGCAACCGAAGAACAACTTGCCCTCTTAACAGCAACTGTTCTCCACACAAAACAAGAGTTGGCGGCAATGAATAAGACCTTGCAAAAAGTTGAAGCTCACCAGTATGAGTTTGAGGGAGTCTGGAATACCTTCCTGCAGAGATCTGCAGCAGAAGTAGATCAACATGTGCATCGCAAGGGCCTTTTCCTGAAAAAAAAAAAAAAAAAAAAAAAAAAAAAAACCATGTGCAAGCATATATTGTAAAATTAGACGAGCAGATCAGCAAGACTTTAACACCCGCCGTGATTGAGAAATTGGTAAGTAGCGGCGGAAGAGATGGAGGAGATGGAAAAGGTGATGGAAACACAGATAGGAAGAAGAAGAGCGTGCTACAAGAAGATGTAGGGGAAGTCAGAAAGATAAAGGTAAAGGTACCGTGCACATACACAGGCAAAAAGGAAGAAAGTGTTTTGCACTGGATTGCAGCGGTTGAGTCCTATGTGTACGGACAGCGTATACGATATTGGGACAGGGTTCTCATGGCCAGTTCGTGTATGGCCGGAGATGCAATGAGCTTTGCAATTTCTCTGCAGAAGGAAGCTAATTGTCAGTCTATGGTAGAGTATTCCCAGCAGACCCGTATTGAAGATTTCTTCAAAGCGGTTCGGGAACAATCTGAAGATAAAAATTTGGCCCGAAGAACTGAAATGTCAATCCTGAATATCGCTGATAGAAAATAGAAAAGTGTATCCGCACTTAAATCTACCATGGATGAACTTCTGCAATGCGCTGAACATGGACTTACCCTGACACAGATTCTTAATAACTTTGCAAGAGCACTACCCGATCCTCTTCGCACTCAATTATATCCCCGCACCAAAGAAGAGGGGATGACTTATGAGAAGTTCAGCAAGATCGCAATAGATCATGCTGGCTTCTTGGCCGAAGCCAATTACTGCCATTATTGGAAAGATCTGCAAGCGGGAAAGAAGTGGCAAAACCGCACTATCTCAGGAACTATTCCTGGGAAAGACAACCTTCTTCTGACCTTTGAAGAAGGAGGTGTCGAGACTCTCTCCTACGACCAAATAAATTATGGTATGGAGGGAGAACCCAATGGCACGGTAGTTCAGGAGGGGGACTACGTGGCCGTTGCAGCCCACGGGGGAGGGCGACAAGGTAGAGGCCGTGGCAAAGGAAGAGAAGGCCGCGGTCGTGGAGGAAGAGGACCCGGCACCCAGAGGGTTGGTGGCGAAGGAAGCTACTATGTGGGAGGAACGGGCAATGGTCCCTCGCAAGGTGGCCGAGGTTCCAACTCCACATGGGGTAGGGGAAAAGGCACGTGGTATGGGAACTGGGACAAACCATATCCACCCCATCCTGGTTTGCCTGAAGGCAAACCTTGGGAAAAGCTAGGGATCACAAAAAAAGTTTGGCAAGATAGAAAAGTCGCCGATCAGTGCCTTAAATGTGGTGACCCCAACCACATTGTTCCCTTCTGCCCAGATTAAACCAAAAGGGAACAGCCAGTAGGGGTTTCAGTTGCCTCTACAGAAACTTCGGATGCAAGCAGACTGACATCCTCCCATTCGAAGGTTCCAGTGGCAGAAACTGAAAAGATAATTGATCCCCACCTAGTCAGTTGTCCAGAGGTAGTTAGTGTATGTACCTCTCTAGGTGGTTCCCTCGCAGGCATGGGTGATGAGTTAGTCACTCGTCGCAAAGCCTGGGTCGAAATGAAAAAACAAAAAAGGACATCTAGTCATTGCAGATCTAGAAGTCAATAAGGTAAGAGTAGGCGGTTTGATTGACAGTGGGTCAACACGCAACTATATTAGTAAGAAAGGATTGCAAAAGTTGCGTCTCGGGCTAAAGGTAAAACAGTTCGATGAGCTCGTAGTAAGTAAATTAGTGAATAGTATTGAGATTGTGTTGGATAGATATATCGAAGTGATCCAGACATACTTCCGGCTCGAAGCAGAGGGGAAGGTGGAACGCGTTTTCCACTCTCTGACTCTCTTGGTGGAAGATAGTCTCCCTTTTGACATTTTTTTAGGCACAGATTGGGGGGAAGTTGCAGATGCGGATGTGAAGCTAAGGGACCATGAGTGTTGGCTCCCTAGTCCGCAAGGTGGAAAGAAGAAAGTCCGCCTATTTCATGAATCTGGTAAGGAAAGCAGCTTGGCTCATTGTTGCATGAGTGCCCCCGCGTTCGCCCGTCATGTAAAGAAGTACAACTTGTATGA